TGCACGGAGGTTCGCAGCGGCGGGCCTTTGTGCCGAAACGCTGGTGGTACCAGCAGACAGAGCTGTCTGGGTACGTCGGCGTCGGAGGGCGTGACGGGAGAGGCGTCTGACGGTCGCGTTGATGAGTCCGGTCGCGGCGGAAGAAGCTGCACGGCACTTTGCAACGGCGTGCTCTGGTGCCGAATCGCTGGTGGTACCAGCAGACGGCGTCATCTTTGTGCGTCGGCGTCGGAGAGCACGCTGGTGTCGGCAGCCGTGATGAGCGAGGCGCTGGGCGTCGGCGGGAATGGCTCCGGCCACGATCCCGTCGCAGAGCGTCTTGCAGGCGTCGGTTGCTGGCCTCGAGGTTTTGGATTCTCACGATGAGAGCCGCGATGGTAGCAAGCTGGGCTGTGGACCGGTCCGCTGCATCCAGTTGATGTGTAGGCGAGCCGAAGTTGGTTGCGGGAGGAGCGGTGTGCTGCCGGGTGGCGTCGCTCGACTCCATGGCGTGGTGCGCGAGTAGCTCGGATCACGTCGGGGTCACCAGTGTAAACTTAGGGGAGAGACGGTCGTCCCAGTTTACATCATCCGATCGTGGTGATCGGGGAGCGTATTCTGTTCCGAGCACTCGTCAGCCACCAGGGCTCTTCATGTCGCCCTCGCTTCCTCGTCTTCCGTCTTCCTCCAAAGCCTTGCGCCGATGAGTAGGAGAGTGTATTTACAAAATTTCATATTTCACTATTGTACATAAAATACGGACGATAGACAGTATACCAATATGCCCGCAGGCGCGGCGAGAAACAAGCTCAACGTATGCGTCACCGTCCGGCTGCCGGGAGAGCCCCTACCGCGACCTTTGGGCAGCGGCCGCCTCAGGGGTGCCGCCGTGACCTTTGGACGGCAGGTTCTATAGCGTATGGCACAGCGGTTACTAGGAAGGCTGAGGCAAGCGGCAGGCCGGTTTACAAATAACAAACTTGACGCGCAATTGACAACAGGTAACAGATTGATTAATAAAGTGGTGACAATATAAATGAAAATGACAACATGAAATGACAAATCGCATAGATGACAAATCGCATAGATGATCCCTACAACTGCGACTGTTCGCCGGTTATGCACGAAGTGATGGGATCTCGTCATGCCGTGCAAATGGGCGCACCTGTTGGCTGCTCAGCACTCAACTGCGTATTGCCCAGCAATTAGAGCTGCGAATTCTTCGAACACGGCGCTCGTGCCATGGAGCTATCAACTCGCCCGGGTAAACGGTTAAGCGTAGATAGCATCTGGAATTTCAGGCAGATCACTTATCATTTGCTGGCGTCATGATCATAAACTAGGCACTAACTCCCCGAGGACACCTTATTGTCGATAAGAAAATGTTAATTGCCCTTTAAAATGAGCGAAGTTCAATGATGGTGCCCAGAAATGAAACCCGGCAATTTGCCGGCCTTATCAGCCGGAGCGGGGCCTCCGCGGGCGGCTCGCCAATCCACCCGCCATTTGTGAAACGGAGTATCTCTCCCGAGATTGTGGCACGGCTCGTTTGAAGCACTTGCTGAATGTTCGGCGTGATTATTGCCGGCTGTTATCTATTATGGCGGAGTTTAGCTGGGTGCCGTCGGATAATAGCATTGCTTCTGTCACGGAAGCTTCATCTCCGGTTAGCTGCAGACGATTGGTTGCCTTCGAGTTGAGAAGTCACCCGATGTATATGTTTGGTATCGCCCTGGACCAGAGGAGCTTCGCCAGCTGAGGTCGCGGTCAAAGTACAAATCCATATCCGTCAGGACCGTCTCCACCAGCTGAAGTCGGTCAGTCACAAAAGTCCGTGACGGGTTTCCCTCGGTCGGACCTCACCCAGTCGCCCTCGCTTGGTGGTGCTAAGGGCTTTTCAGAGTCTTTCTACGGTTTAAACGGTCAAATGACAGTGAGAAGAGCCGACTATCCCATTTTCCCATCCCAACTCCACTTGCTTTGTCGAGTGAGATGGGTAATTGCCGAGCTCCGACGTTGAGAACTTCTCGATGGACAGACGAGGCCACCCAGCCCTGCTAACAGTCACCCCACCACAACTAAGCACGGCCCTGAGGAGCTACTAGTGCACACGACGAATTATGCCAATTATGGTGACCTTCCATCCCAGGTCAGAGGTTTGAGGCTAAAGGGAAACGATTCGTACGCTCCTAAAATAGATCAGAGGGATCCGAGTGTCGATTGATGAAGCTAAAATCACTAGATATCAACGATACAGGTGTTATCTTTGCTCGGTAGCGCGTCATTCCCTTTCACCTTTGGCAGTCGATAGCGCAGATATGACGTCTCAGCTGTCCTTGATGACGTCACCCCGATGGAGGTGTGTGCCTCGTCAGCATGTGTCGTTGGCGGCGGTCGGGCTCGTGACGTCACAGGGCACCCTGCTCTTACGTCATCCAGCCGACGAACCGTGAGGAGCGCAAATCGAGAAGTCGCTTCGCCACCGCTCGCCTGACACGACGGTTCAGCTGAAGGTTGCTTTACATTCGAGATGCCTGAACATAGTTCCGTGGATGAAAAGTTTAAGACGATGAAAGGCGTGGTTTTACTTGTTTGAGCAGCAGTTTTCGTCAATCTCTTGACGTCCATGTGTTCCGACTGAAGACAATTGTTTGTTTTTCGATAAGTTCACGTTGGAGCGAACTGTCAGCGTTTTGTTTTGTTGTTTTGCTATTTTAGCTCTTGAAGATGCATTCGGACAGGCGTTTGGCACCTTTTGAAACCTATACTGTTAGATTTGGCGTATTATGAAACCATATTTATCTAACAATATCTCGGGTTACCAGCTATGAGTCGCCTTTACGAACCGTCCGTCCGACCCCATCTTATCTCTGCGGCTGGTTTGATGGACCTTCAGTCGGAGTACCGTCGATGCCCTTCCCCCCCTCCCCGATGGGACTGTCCGGTCCGTGACCTCACTCCTCGGCTGCCGATACCGTCCTGAACCGGTGCCAGCTCTGTTACCGTCCGGTCACCCCGGTGTTCTCACTCAGACAGCACCGCCGACCGGAATCAGATCGCCGAGGAGATATCTGACAAGACGAAGGTGCGAACTATAAGTTTATATTAACAGACATTAAAAACGGTGATAGACGATAAACATACAAACAGCCATAGATCTTAAGAAAAGCGAAGGCTTCCCATCCGCTTTCGAAACAGGAACATTGGTCGATTTTGCGTGATATTTAGGTAAATGCCACCTGATGGCTGAGAATCGGGATGAAAGTGTGGAACACCTGTCATCTAACATTCGCTTTGCACAGCAAATCACTGGCGTCGATATTGCGGTCGAGAATCACTATGGAAATTATTGTCCCTGCAGTGTGAAGTCGGGTCGCGTCGTAATTGCCACGTGCGTGCTCAATGTAGCTCAGGTCATGACATTATCGCCCAGGACATGACATTAACTGCACTATCGCCCTGCGAGTCCTGCGAGAGTGCAAACCGCTTTTATCAGCGTTCTGGCTCGTGCTGACAGGACGTCCCGTCCCCGCTCAACGCGTGCTGGAAAACGCCTGACGTAGGTGTTGACGGAACTTCGTCATCAAATTGTTACGGAAGCCCGTGAACCATAGGGACTAGCATCTGACGCTTTTCCGTCGTCGTCTTCGAGGTTTCACCAATCTTAATATTCTCTCATAGAGCATAAGACAACAATGTTTGTCATCCTCAGCATCATTGAATCGTTCAGCAATATTTTATATTTAGCCGGGCACTGGCTGACTCCTATTGTCTCATGTTGTCTCCCGTTGTCTCTATCAGTCTCCCGTTGCTTCTTTTTGTCTTCTGTCGTCCCCTGTTGTTTCCCGTTTCCTCCTTTGGTCTCCAGTTGTCTCCTGTTGTCTCCTGTTGTCTCCCATCTGGTGGTGGCAGTGTCCCCGCCGCGGCGGCTCTGGCTCTGCCCACGGTCGGCGTTATAAATAGCCCCCGGTGGCGGCCGTCGGTGGGGGGGGGGGGGGGGGCGCCCGGCTCGTTGGAGGCCGCGTGCGTCGACTCCGACGGCCGTCGGCACCGACGGGAGCGCGCCGGAGGCTGGGTGTCGACACGGCGGCAGTGTGCTGGGGACAGTGAGAGAGAGGCCGTGCGGCTGTGGTGGACCGAGCTGTGTGTGAAGCTGCGATCGGCTGTGTCCGTAGCGTGATGTGAAGGACGGAGACGGTGGATGACCGGTATTTGTGCGGTGTAGCGGTGCTGGAGGCAAGACTGGTGAACGTGGAGACATTACAAAGGTATAATAGAGGATGATATACAAAAGGGATTTACAAGTAACTACACTGACTGAAAAGGCTCCTATTGAAATCATGTAACGATTAGTGTATCTCGCAAAACGACTAATATTCTGAAGATCTCCATGTTTCTTGTTTACATCTGCTAGCTCTCAATTTTCATAACTACGTATGATGCTTCTCAGTCTTCACTAACTTTGGAAACGCATCTACACCTATGTGTTGACACATTCTGCATGCTACGTTATTTGAAAACTGTTAACAATCCTGGCTCTTGCCTGGTAACTATCTTCACTTCAAGCGGCCCGCTATGCTTATTAGCCTCGTGGGTCGTGTGTACAATTGTACATAAGTGTATATTTGCATTGGATGTGTATTTAGAGTTACGTCGGAAATGATTGCGTTTGTCGCTTTTAGCATCATTATTAATGGAATAAAGAAATAAACAGGTTTTGTAGACGCATGAATAATTGTCTTTGTCGTCCACCGTTTATCAATTGCGACTTGCGAGCTATCACTCAAAGCTTCTCTTCTAGAGTTTTTCTAGAAACGACGCAATGCACGTAGGCTAGTCAAGAGGCACGTTGGCTTCCATTGAACGTCACCTTGGGTGTTCGACGGAGCATTTAATTTGGATCTTACATGGCCGACGACTAGTGTGCAACATTCATCGTGATCACCCCGGTTTTCTAAGGCGATGTGTGACTGTAATGAAAAGAATCGTACCGACAAAGCCCCCCCCCCTTGACCTTTCAGATGGCGCTGGTGCTGCTGCCGTGTGACCTGCCGAACTGGCCCACCGTGCAGCGTCACCTGACCAAGGTCAAGGACGCACAGAACGCCGAGCAGCTCGTCGAGATCATGCACAGGCTTCACGACCTGTGCAAGTAAGCTCACCCGTGGTTGCCATCTTTTTTTATTGAAGAGCTCATTACCATTCCCGAGGATGCATTTTTTTGTAGCTTTTATAAAGGTATGCGTTTTGAACCAGTGAAAATGGCGTTGTAAAAGATGTTCCGAAAGGTATAAATGCCATATTGCATTGAAACTCATCACTTCGTAGCTCCCATGGAAAAAACATGGAGTATGATTTCGGTGAATATCGTAGCAAAATTAATGTTTGCTATCGTAGTTCCGCTTAAAAATGAATCTCGTTTAAATATATCGTAGTTGGATGAACATAATTGTCACATTTTTACCAAACTCGGGAACACAACAAGGTTTTAGGCTGATGATTTGAAAAATAATGCATTATTTTTCAATCCTGAAAGTCCGTCAAGTTGCGAAACATAACAGCAAATTATGCAATACAAACTGGCTTAAATAAACTGGAATAAAGCTGCATTGTTCTTTCTTATATGTATTTCGAAAAATATACCTAAACTAACGCTATGGGCTAACGTGCAACCATGCATCGTGGTGTGAATGCAATAGCCAAACTTGCGTGCAATGTATTATAAATATACCATGGTGTGGCAGTAAACATCGGCTGGCTATCTGTCTTTGTAATCAGCAAGCGTAATGACTGCTTTCGCTAGATGATTATCGAATATTTGTGTTTGGCTGTAGGTGGTCATTTCGCCTGTGAAATATTGCAGGCACGAGTTATTTAAGCGATAGAGATGTTGGTATAATTGAGAAATAATATTGCTGATAATTCAGCTGGCAAGCGAGACTGCTAATTGTGCAATGATTCCGTGCCAGTAATTATCGAGAAATGATAATTATTACACGAGTAAGAGTAGGAACCTTGATACCTAAACATCATGAACTTGTTTTCTCTGTTCTCTTTCTCTGTCTCTTTCTTTTTCTGTCTCTCTTTCTGTTTCTCTTTCTCTTTCTCTCTCTCTCTCTCTCTCTCTCTCTCTCCTCTTTCTCTCTTCCTTTTTCCTCTTCTCTTTCACCCTTTCTCCCTCTATCCTTTTCTCGAGCTACCTCAATTCAGCTTTTACATCTCTTAAAACTTAGCCTGAGAACTGCTAAGTGTCTGTCAGCCCATCCAGAGGCCAGAGGGTCAGCGCACTGGAGCTTATCATGTGTGAGGGCACCATGAGGACGTCGGCGTTGTTCCGTGTCGCGCCGGTCAGTTTTTCGGCGCGTGCTCGGCGGTCTTTCGTGCACGTGCGACCGCGGCGCACGTGCGGCTGCCGCGTGTGGTCGAGTCGTTACCGCGGCGGTCGGATTTTCAGCGCGGTTTGGACTATGCGGTCGGTGGGTCACTTTTTATTCAATGACAGCTGGTGGAGCGGTGGGGAGCAGTCAGGATGCCAGGCTTATGCCCACATTATCCAGATATGTTCAGCATTAGCTGGATATGCAGTATGCATCTCAACAAACTATCTGTAAAGTACACAAGGGAATCAAAATTTGTTGAAATCTCGTTCAGAGACCCTCTAACCTTGGCTGCAACCTCAGACAGGTCCCTCAGACTGTCCTGGTGTCCCACTAACCTGTTGGCGCCCCGTGCCAGGCTGGCCAGAACTGCAGACGGTTGCCAACGGCACCATTGCATAGTCATCTTAATCGCGTCCGACGCTTGGCGCCTGCTTAACTGTGTCATGCCTCATGACGTTCCGTCCTCCGGAACCGGCCACGGCGTGGAACTGTCCCAAAGTGTTATCATGCGAGCGTGCGTCACCGTCGCCCGCATGCGCTGCTAGTGAGATGAGGTAGTGCCCTGGACGCACCATTGAGGAGTCACACACGGTGCACGGTGCTGGAAAACAAGGTGACTCGGCGGTTCGTGGTCAAAAGTCGGCGCTGAGAGAAGGTGCAGAAAGCATCCCACGGGGCTGCGTGAGCTGGACACGGCTACACTCTGTGATTAGAGGACACCACCAGCCGTAATGACAGCCAATGTGATCCTTCTGCAAAGTCGCGGTGTAAAGATAGCGTTTGCAAGTCACCAATGGTGTTTAGATGCGCCTTTAATGACCTGGGCCCGCCGCCATTTGCCGCCCGTCCAGCGGAGACCCGGCAATCGCACGGTGTTGATAATGTATATCGCCGAAGATAGCTGACGCCCATCCACGAGGCCGGTGATCTATATAGGGTTGCACAGGGTAATGAGCACAGTTAATCGTTTGTTCGTGTGGTGAAGGCACATCCATTACGGCAACATTAGTTACGCCTCGAGAAACAATGCAGCTATCATTGCCCCGCCTTATGAACGCTGGTACGGAATACAAATTGTTTGTGTTTCGAGGCCGGGATATCATATGAACCTTATTTTCCTGGTAGTTTTTGTGATATCTGGACGAAAGATAAGCTGAAGCGGGATCTTAGAAAACAGGATGCCAGTTACAACGCCGATATTTACATTACTATTGATGCGGATTTTTTTTCGGCGTTACTGTGCTGCTTTCTGGATTCAAACGGAATATACGCTGGTCTCGGTGCTACATTTTCATTAAATTAATTCATTCTAGTCAAATTGCACAATGTCGTTGAACGTTGCCACCGTTCGTTATCCCCGACCTCAGCTTGAATTTATCCTAACCGCGTATTTTTGCACGAATCACAGGGCTATAGCTAATTATTGCAGCTGTGAATTCAAATTGAAACGCGGTTTCAATCCACTCTCACACTATAACAATTATTCTAATCGGCAATGCTGCTATCCATCTATGGGGCACACTACTACCTTAAATATGATGGCAACTTAACCCGCGCGGGGCTGGGGGGGGGGGGGTAAATTTTACCCCCTTCGCGAATTTTAGCAATATCTCAAAAACGGCGGCGCGCAGCGCCGCCAAAGTTTCAGTACCTTTTCTTACATCAATTTGACACGTTCCCTGAAAATTTGAGCGAAATCCGTCGGAAAATTTTTGAGAAATTGACGTTTTAGTGACGTCATGTTCGCCATTTTCGCCTCAAAAACGGCAAAATTTCAAACGCCGCTAACATCTTTATTTTTAAAGGAATCGAGACGTAACAAAAAAGGTTATACGCAATTCTACTTTGTCTATCAAATGGCTATCTCGATTTTTTGAAAATTTTGGAATTTGGCCCAAATTTTTTCAAAAAACTGACTTTTGGGAAAATAATTATAAAATCCAATTTTTTTTGTGTATCGAAAAAACCGGAATATATGTCAGAGAAGTGGTCAATGTGCACCTACATACCAATTTTTAGAAGAATCGGTTCAAAAATGTGGGAGTTATTCGAGATTTTATGACGTCACGACACACAAAAATTTTGAAAAATGATTTTTTTTGGAAGTTCTAGACCTCGTACGGAAACAAAAATGGCACCATTCGATTCGCCGTGAAAAACTGCATCAGATAGACACCTTTTTAGGCCTTAACAACCAACTTCAAAATTTGACCTCACTTGACCTGACCTTGACCTGACCTCGACCTGAAATTCATCCAGAGGTGGTCCATATCACTTATTGAGTGTGCCTATTGAATTCTATGAGTAAAATGACCCATAAAACATGTGTCGCACATGCCCTTTTCTATATTTTGTTTTTTGGTGACCTTACCTGACCTGACCTGACCTTGACCTTGACCTCTGAATGATATTGTATGCAACGAATATTGTCTTGGTAGCCTAAGAACACGTTTTGGGCAATCAGTCTCAGTCGATGACTCCATTCTTCGGCAACTACGGTGCAAGGCCGATACTGTAGAAACTTGCAATTTGTACCCTTGACCTGACCTTGACCTTGACCTCAAACTTTAAATTAAGTACATGTTTTTAGTTGTTCGCGATGAGATCTTTCGATTGGCGTTTGATTTTTCCAAATCGGACCATTAGTTCGGGAGATAACAGGGGGGGTAAAATTTACCCCCCCCCCCCCAGCCCCGCGCGTTCGGCTGGAGACCCCAGCCCCGCGCGGGTTAATCGTCACATACGCTATTCCGCTATTCCACTGTTTTTCTGGTCTGTTTGTAAGGCAGAGAGCCGCCCACCATTCTGTTCATGACAGCGCCTGTCAGTCGGCGCCCCGTGACCAGGCTGGAACCCGTGCGCAGAAACGAGCGCCCCAGCCCGTTAGGCTAATCGCTTTGACCCGTGCCTGCAATCCCATGACCTCCCGTGGCTAATTGCCCTGTTGGAACAGAGCTACCGCCAGTGCAGGTGCGTAATTCCAGTGACACCGACTGTTTCACCGGATGCAGCAGAGTGTCGGGCTAGTGACACTGTCTATTGCTCACTTCGACACTGCGGGAACGTGCGCATCTTCTTGGCTGTGATCTGTGGCGTAGTTTAGATGTTTGGACTGTGTAAGGCGGAGTCGTCATGCTAGATGTTGTATGCCAGCTTTTTACGGTGGAGGTATTTATTTTTAAGCTGCTGAACCGCTCATATATTGTTACACATTCCTGTCGTTACGAATTTTCGGCTGTCGCATTGATGTTTTTATTTATAAGCGTTATCTGCATTATACTTTAAAATATATTTTTTTAGTTGCACAAGGCAGCTAATCCTTAATAATCATAGAGTGTCGTCCACGGCGTCGTATTGTCATGCACAGTTCATGTTCACCTTGTGCGTTTATTTTTAACGTGAAAACTGCCTGCAATTAGCCTAAACATTGATCAATACATGTGGAAAAACCAGCCAGCCTCGTGTTTCTTTATGTTTATGTCAAATTAACGCAAAATATGCTTCTCTCTACATCTGTTCATTATCTGTCATACTCCCGCTATTTAAAGTCCACTTATAACGGCTCCAAGCGGTGGAGCTGCTATTTTCTCTTCGTGTCCCAGCCCCATAGACACTTGTCATTATTGTTCGTGGGTGCCCACTCGCGCCTTTTGCCTCTCCCTACATCCATGTGTAGTTTTGATTCAATCACCCCAGCACATTTATTCCGGCACTATAATTCCCGTAACGTGCAATACGGCTCGTTTGGCCGCAGCTGAGCACCGGAACGTGACCGATTCTGACCGTTCGGGGTGACCGTTTCAGCGTTGGCCTTGACCCGACCGACGACCCCGTTGACCCGGCCCGATTTGAGGGGCTGCGTCTGTACGTGGGTCAACTGGCGGCGGCGGATCGCACCAAACTGTTCCGCACCACCCTGCCGTGCATGGTCAACTACGCGCTCAAGCTGAGGATCTTCAAGCCCCGCGAGAGCCTCCAGTACAGCCTTCAACAGCAGGGTGAGTACCGCCGGATGTTCCTCACTGAACGGTGGCATGCCAAGAATTTGCTCGAGAAACTTGTCTCGCTATAGTTAATTGTGTCCTGGTCGTGACAGCTTCGGTGAGCGATGTATGTAATGTGTCATATGTCCACTGTCTTGTGCACAATCTTCCACAATGGTGGAGTAGAATAGGGATAGCTGACTACCTGTACAACTAAATGCATTGATCTTCATCCCCGTCCATCTGCACTTTTTGCCGCCGTCGTTTTGACGGCCTGTCCCGGTAACTGTCCTGTAAGAGGCTAGCTGCGATGGCCGTGTGGTGTGCCGCTGATGGCCGCCCTCCGCGCTCCGTCCGCTGCTGACAGCCGCCCAGTTACCCCACCTAATTGAGCTCATTAATATGGGACTGGGAGCACTCACGAGCCACCGCCCTGCTATCGCCGCGGAGGGCTGGAGTTGATGGTGGGATGGAGCGGAGCGGAGGGGGCGGGGAGGGCTAGGACGAGTGCCAGCCGGCCACCTCTGACGCGCCCCTACCGTCAGCGATAGGGTGTGTGAGCGGTGGGATTTTGGGTCGCTGACCGGTAGTATCGAATGGTGACCTAGGTGACTGACCGCTGCCGTCTATACGTAGCCTGACACCGCGTCAAGTTTGATCCGTAAAGAAGCGACCTGTCGCCAAGTCAAAGCCAAAAACAGGACGACACGCCCGATTCAGGTCACTCTTACCCCCGCAGCCTGACATCCTGACCTTTCTGATGTTCGTGGGTTGTATTCGCGTCATCGCGACAGGGTGACACAGAATTATGCTAGACGCAGTACCTACACGCGGCATGTTTCGCCGAGTGCTCATTGCCGTTGTTGGCTTTGGACAGTATCTCCAGAGGCTGCGTTACCGTCATATTCCATTTAGCTTCACTTGTCCACGACGCTTTTAACTTTCAACAGTCTCTCGTCTAGGATGTCTTAGGTTTAGGTTTTCTAATTCATGATGTTCTCATTTCATATAATTTTTCCCATAATGACATCGTTCGCTTTATTTCCATTCCCTTATTTTCCTTCTGGTCCCTATTTTTTCCACCTGTCAACCTCTCTCACTCCGTTCCTCTCCGTTCGTCTTCGTCCCTCCCCTCCCCCTCTCCCTCCGCGCCGTCACCTCTCCTGAGGCCAGGAAGGGCTGGCACACTGACAGCGGTGCCAAAAGTCTGCCAGCCACAGAGCTGAAAAACATCGCCCGGTCGTCTACCGTCGGGTCACGTAGTATCCCGACCCAGGAGTGGAGGAGTTTGAAGGACGGGATGTCAGAAATGGCGGAGGGCTCAGCGAAGTTATAGTTCGGCAGTTTGCTACGAAGACAACTTATGCTTTTACTTTTTAGGGGAGTTGTTGTCCTTGTGACTCCGATCTGATTGTGGAAAGTGCTTAGTACTTAACTTTGGAAGGATGCTCGTTCTGATAGTTTGTGGACTTACGGCATGAGCTAAAGCGGCATTGCCAGATTGCTTCATCTAAATACGATATTTATTCACTATAAGCTTTATTTTTTCTTTAGGTATGACTTGCGTCACACGATTCCCCTTTGTTAATGAGGCAGTGTGCAAAAATGTGAACGTTTCAATGCCGCAATAGCAATGATTTAACGTGCTGATGCTTCTTTGTGTTGAATATGAAGACACATTCACACTACGTATGCATGCACGAACCTCACTGAAGGCTGAATGGAGCCCAAGTGACATGTTTCTTGGAACAGATGTCAGCATATATGACATGGTTCTGACGTGAACACTGGACATACGCTCGTATATCGCGAATAGATTGTTGCATCGCGGCGAGGAATAAGCCTAACCTACGAGGTCATATTTAACCGGGGCGGGAGTCATGTCGAGAGCCCAGGTTTGCATCGTCAACGGATCCTCCCTTTTCGGGGTCTCGCCAGACGTTTACATGAGGGCGCAGAATACGTGCTCAGTTTATTGGATAATAAATCATGGCATAGTAAATTTATTCAGGTACTGCTATCAGAATATAGTGGAACGCCTAGCCAAGATGGGTTACAAGTATCATTTTAGTCCAGCTTTGCGTTGGAGCTGCCTCGCAAATCTATTCACAAGGAAGTGTTCTCCTGACGCATTTGCCGTTCAGATAGCACCGCCCGTCTCTACAGGTCTGTTCGCGAGTTTATAGGGCGCCCACATGATGCCCCGTCGATGGTCAATGTCGATAACCGTCTGCTCACAGCGCAGAACATGCAATGGATCTGAAGAGGTTCGACAGCCAATAGATGCTGATCTGACGTCGCGGTAGACTGTTGAAATGTGCGTGTAGGCTGGCCAGGCGTGCATAAAGAAAAAGCTGCCTGCATCTGGTCCGTTAGGAAGCCTGCTGCAGTTTCATTCAGCGGCTTGGTTCTGAACCACTGCTGAGCTTGCCAAGAGAAGGCTAGCAGTAAATATTCACTAACTGCCTGTTGCGACGCTCTGAATTTCTCCGCCATTTCTCAGACTGAGCCAGCCATTTGTGTCGACTGGGCCGACCATTTCCCAGATCAGGGCTGGTAAAAGTGCTTCGTGTGTCCCCGACCAAATATGAAAATCGAAAAAATGACCCCGGGACCCCGGGCCACCTTTATATCAACTTAACCTTAAAAAACACCTTTGTCGTCATAGCGACCCCAGTTACTTATCGAAAACTGGATCAGTGATCGCCAGCTGCTTTCTTGGGGGGGGGGGGGGGAGAGAACAGCTGGTAAAAGCTATAGGGTAGGGTGGGGTAATTTGGACATGTGGGGCAATTTGAACATAGTGTGAATAACAGAAAATTACGGAAAATCCATAAGTGACATGACTATAAGACCAATGAGAGAAATTATCGTAACTAAAAGGGCTATCATATGAACGGGGTTTTAAGTTTCAGGGAATGAAGATGTTGACGCACAGTGTAAAAAAAATCAATTTCGCAAGGAAAACGCCTAACAACACGTCATTGCAACTTCATTGCAGCGCAAAATCTTGCATTGCTAGCGCCTAATACGCAACGGCTTTTGTTGTATAATGGCCTAATCAGCGCCGTCAATCCAAGAAATTTGCTTTTGAACCCTGTTTTTTAAAATGGCAAAATAACTTTTAGCGTGGGGTAATTTGAACATAGTGTGAGAATTTAAATGAAGACAGGGATAGCTCCGAAAAAAACAACGCTCCCAGTTTTTTTTTTGCCAATATTTTCGACCCAAGGCAGTAGCAGATAAGTGATGCCAGTTTAAGAAAATTTACGTCTAATATCCGTCTAATGTCCGGCATTTTTGTTGATTTTCCGTCCAAAAATGTTAAAGTCAACTATTGGTCCAAATATGTCCGAAAATTATGCAGCTATCAACACTAAAAACCGTCATTTATATTGCTTATCATGTAATTTTACCAGCCGAAAAGTGTTCATTATATTGAGATATTAACAAGCTTTCCATTCGCCAATCAATGCTATGCACGATTACTTTATAAAAAGCGCTGAAGTGTAGCAAGCCATCGTCCAATATTGTCCAGTCTGCTACCTTTGTCCAAACAATTCCGAATTGGACATTGGACAAAATCAGAACTCCAAATGTCCAGGTTTCGATTGGCACCACTTCAACAGATGTAGTACGGTTGGGAGAGTTTTTATCGAACAAAAATGATAGACGTTCTGTTAATTGAAGAGGGGCGAATTCTGTCAACTGACCGGTGTGCAGCGTGCAGATATTGATACTCTGCAACTGTTATTTTTGCTGTTGTGTTGATTTTTCAAGTGAAGGTATGTTTAGAATTGTTCTGCCTATTTGTTTATGGGTCAAACAACATCGGTGCTGGCGAGGCTATCGTTTTTATGACAGGTAAAGGCAGTATGTTCAAATTACCCCACGGTTGGGCAATTTGAACACACCGTGACTTGGTGGAGAAGTGAGGCTATGCTATTCAAGGTATGCTCGGCTCGTCCAAAAATGAGGCTTGCATGGTGAAAGCAAGTGACACTTGCGCTACTGAAGCAGTTTTTCTTCATCCAGGGTTGAACTGGAATTTGGTACAACGGAGAAGACGCAAAAATATGTTCAAATTACCCCACACTACCCTAGATAAACCGCTCAAACTTCAATCGATTCTAGTGCCAGAACTAATTGCCAGTATTAAGAATTCTGCTGACTAGGACGGCTGCTGCCAAAAGCACGATGTTGCCACAGGAATATCTCAACAAGTGTACTAATAATGCCAGAGAAATGCAGGCAAAGCTTGCTTCAGAAAAATCCACCGTACCAATTCGCGGTACGACATCCACATTCAATATATGTACATATAGATATCGTCAGTACCGTAAGCGAGTCAGTATAAGCACACTTCATTCCATTCCCGACGTCACGTCACATACCAAGAAAATTCTATGAATAAATCCATAACACTTGACTGGCTATGACATTGTAGCGGGGTTTCGCGACGTTGCGGGGCGAACCGGGCAGTGTCTTCTGGTAGAGATAGAGAGCAAGAGAGCTGAGTCGGTGCGCTCCTAAAGGCCCTTCTCTGTATCCAGCCCCTCGCGAACCCGTTCCGACTCTGACTCTACCTCGGGGCGATCAATCATCGGAAGCACATAGGCTAGGGTTGATGGATGGGATGAGTGATAAGTGATAACCAATTTTCCTTGATCACATTGAAATAAGAAATTAACTCTACTTAACAGATCCCAACTCCTAACAACGGCACCCGTCCTAGCTGAGGGCTATCTCCCACCGGATATACACGACAATCACACTTTCACTTGTCCATCCCCTCTCACTCCTGTCATACGTCCAGTCATACCTCAAAATAATCAGAGTTAGCCGTCTCCGATCCCTCCCTCTTTTTCCTAACTTCCCCCGGTGGTGCTAGGGCGCACGCAAAGTCGTTATCTAGTCATTGGCCTTAAATTTCATTTAACCGTTATCCCTTCATAACCACAATGTTCCGTACATCAGACAAACGCTTCATAATGCTCACGCTACACAATTAGAGA